CAGAGAGCTAGGATTACAGGCGTGAGCCACCGCGCCCGGCCGGTATATTAATTTTTAAGTTAAATCATTTCTTCAATCCGGTCTGTCCAACCAGATTCTCTCTTGAAGGACAAGAACCATAGGAATCACCTCTTGTTCATTTGTATCTCTCTAGTAATGATCTAGGACTCTGCACACGATGGATATTCAATGAGTATTATTTTCCCACAGCTTGGAACATCACCCCTTCACCTTGCAGCTCAGTATGGTCATTATTCCACTGCAGAAGTACTCCTTCGAGCAGGCGTTAGCAGGGATGCCCGGACCAAAGTGGACAGGACTCCCTTGCACATGGCTGCAGCCGATGGACATGCGCACATTGTGGAACTTCTTGTTAGGGTAAAGCAAGAATAGTGGAGGACCTATCCTGTAAAAAAGACATCCACCTCCTTGTTTTCTTACTTAAATGGGTGGTAGGAAACTGGGTTGGGAAGGATTAAGTTTAGGACAGTTTATAGCATTGGATTGCATGACTCTCTTTCAAGAGTCATCATGGCTATGAGGAGTTTGTTTTCTAAATTTTTAAATGCTAAACAGACTTTATTGATTTTCATTCATTCCATTTCTGCAGGTGGTCTCTGCATTTATGCTCATTTTTTCAGGCAGTTTGCTGTCTGTTAATAAAGGCAACAAAAATCTGTTCTCCCCCCTTTCTCTCCCATCTGTTTAATTTCCCAGTGATGTCCTTAGAAGACCCACTCATTGAAAGCATTATGTCTACCAGCATTTAGGAGAATTTGAGAAATGTTTTTCCCTGTGATATTCCTTAAACATGATCTAAATTTGAGTATGTACAATCTATCTGGAAAGCCTCTGTACTTAATGATAGACTGTTACACCTGTGCTACTATGATCAGTATCTGTTGAAAAAATTGCTTTTCTATGACAGAATGGTGCAGATGTGAATGCCAAGGACATGTTGAAGATGACAGCTTTACATTGGGCCACAGAGCACCACCATCGGGATGTTGTAGAGTTACTTATCAAATATGGAGCTGATGTCCATGCGTTCAGCAAATTTGATAAATCTGCCTTTGACATAGCCCTGGAAAAAAACAATGCTGAGATTTTGGTCATCCTCCAGGTGTGGTTCTTTTTATACTCCTCAGAGTATACTTTATTTGAAGTTAAGGATTTTCTTGTAGGAGTTGAATCAAAACTAAATTTTTCCTGTCTCATCAAAGTAGTACTTCTAATATGTTTCTATCTTATCATTCAGTGTCATTAGTATCTTTTTAAAACAACATTCTATAAAGTCCTGAATTACTCATGGTGATTAAAGAACAATGTGGCAGTACAAAAGACATTTATTTGGCTTTAGGATGTTTTTTCTCCATGAAAATTTCCCTTCCTAATTAAGCGTTACTTGGGACAATATTAAAAGTCACTTTATGTTTTCTGAATATACATCAGCTGATGTGAGACAGTATACAGATGCTCCTCTACTTACAAGAGAATTATGTCCAGATCAATTTGCAATGGACTTATCCAGACCTAAGCCCATTGAAAATTGAATTGCTTTCACACCATGGTAAAGTAAAAAAATGGTTAAATTGTGTAAGTCAGGGACCATCTGTATAGTTCTGAAGCCATCTCAGAATTGAAAATTAGCTGTGGTGATCTCATCCATTAATTTCTTAAACCAGCACTTGTATATCAGAGAACAACAGGATGGGGGATACAAAAATTAATAGGACATGCCCTGTCCTTGGAGTGTCCACAGCATGATAAAAGTGGGGACAGGAAATAAAGCATTACAATACTACATGATTAACATATCTAGCAAGTATTATGGGAACACAGAGGAGGGAGTATTGATGCTTAAGGGAAGGATTAAACTATGTGTAGAATTGGAACTGAGTTTTCAAGAAGTAGGCTGAGAAGTGAAAAGACTATCTTCTAGGCTAGAAAAAGAGTAAATCAAAGACATAGAGGTGTGAAAGAATGTGGAATGTTCAGGAAAGATTAAGTAGTTGTGTGTCTAGAGAATGGGCAAAGGAAGTGGAGTTTGGCAGTGGCAGATGCTAAGGCTTGAGTTAGGCTGCGTTCTGAATACATGGGTGTTACATGGCACACAAAGGAGGTTTTTTTTTTGAGACAGAGTCTCACTCCATTTCCTAGGCTAGAGTGCCATGGTGTCAGCCTAGCTCATAGCAACCTCAAACTCCTAGGCTAGGGCCGGG